CTATTCTGTAGATGATTTCATCTCTGCTGAAAATGTTTAAGCTTTATATCCATAATCTACGTATATGTAAAGCAAGTTTTGTATTTATATTTAAAATTCTGAGGCTTATGTATATTAATTTGTAAAATTATTTTTCATATTTGTATTGCAGAATCTGAAATTTATGTACATTGATATGTGAAATACGTTCTTGTACTTGTGTTGAAAGTTGTGAAGTGTATGTATATTTTATGATATGACATGTTCTACATCCTTTGGTTGAGTCCTAAGAAGGATGTATGGAATGTAAATAAACTCTACTCTACTCTACTCTACTCTACTCTTAAACTCAAACAACATCCTTGTCGAGGAGCAATTTGGATTTAGAAAAAATCTCTCAACAGAAAAGGCTCTGTTTAGTTTCACTAATGAAACTGTATGTGCCCTTAACAATAAAATGCATGTGGGTGGAATATCTTGTGACCTAGCCAGGTCATTTGATTGTGTAAACCATGAAATATTACTAATGAAACTGAAATTTTATGGAATTCAAGGTATAGCAGGACAATGGTTTAAATCCTACCTAAATAATAGAAGGCAGAAAGTAGAAATTAAAAGCCCCCATACCAATCATAATACCTATTCAGAATGGGGTATCGTAAATCACGGAGTGTGTAACGAAGATGTGAAAGATGTATATCAACAATGTGTAAATATGGACCGACAACAATGGTCAGCTTTTATATGAACTCCTTCGTGCATTGTTATATTACCTAAGAAATTGTTACGTCATCTGTTTACTCGGCATTGTTGTGTTTCAATACTGCCGTCAACAATCCACGTTCGTTATTGCGGAAAGAGCTGAGCTATGAATCCCTTGTGTATTGTAGACTAGATAATTTTGTGCTGGTAGAATATCAAAAGTACTTTTCTTATATAAGAATTATTACATTACATTTCATTGCATTACAGAGACGTATTTACGTCAGATTCTCCGGAACCGTGGTTCCACTGTCAACTTTTTGGATGTAAAATATTTCTTTGCTGTCTGTTGACTTTCCCCAGAAAATAATTCCATATGACATGATCGAATGGAAGTAAGCAAAGTACACTAATCTTAAATTTCCTGTTTTTATGAGCGATGTAACAGTTCTCTTACCAAAGCATGTTGAGCTTAGTTTATGCGTAATGTATGAATATGTGTTTCCCAGTGTAAGTCATTGTCAATTTGTAGGCCAAGAAATTTAGTTGTTTCTAGTTCTTCAATTATTTTGTCCTCATATTCTGTACCTATTTAACACAATTTTTGTTGGTAGTACAAAATTTCATGGGGAAAAGGCAGAGAACCAAGTATTAAACCTTGAATGTTTTGAAATGCTGCATGAAGACATGCATTTATTTGAATCTGGTGATTTTATTTGTACGTGTTGAAATCTAATTGTTGCAACAGTAAACGTCATATGAAGGGTTACACATGTGTCTGTGTACAGTATTGTAGATGGTGAAACACAGTTGTTTAAGGAATAGACTGAATAAACAAAGGTGAGATTTCAGGTTGCATGTTGCATGTGTAGTCTGGTATATGTTGACCAACTTGTGAGACTAGCGAACTATGCCCAATACCCATCACTGCAGTATTTTGTTTCTCCCATGTCACTCCCTTTCACTGTCATTGTCTCTATTCTCAGCATAATTAATTTGTGTAAAGATTCAACTTGCATCATCGGTTTTTACACACACACACACACCCGGCCCCTTAGTCTCTTGCACTGAATTTCAGGATATGGGCCATGATTGATTCCTCTTCAGTTCTTTATTTTATAATAATTTGGTCAGTCAATTCCAACTCCCCACAGTATAAAAGGGAACATTTTATGAGTATCACCAATTGTAATAAAGTTTTGTCTGGTAATCATGTGATAAATATATGAAATTTTATTTTCCTGTCAATGAAATGTTTCAAAATTTAAAATTGTATCTTATTCTTGTTCATAACACTTTCTCCAGTCAAGTTAGGAAGCTCATTGTAGCTTATTTGAACTGGCACACAAAGTAAATATGACATCCTGTCAATAACAAGCCCTTCTCTCTTAACTGCTGATATGATTCTCTTGTGTACAGAAAATCCTGTCCCTAATTCCTGAGTCTCATTCCCCTTTCCATAGAAAAATGTAAAATTGCCTTCTGGTACAGAGCCACCCATGTCCCATCTGACCTTCTGTACTCCCTCCAAATCAAACTTGTACTTTGCTAATTCTCTTGCAGCTGTTCCCAGTGAACCTGCCCTATACAGACTCCTTACATTCTATGTCCCAAATCTCGTGTCCATTTTCCTTTGCTTAGGTCATTGCAAAGAATCCTCCCCCTGTCTGAGTCTCTGTGTAACATTTCATAACAAGTTATTATTTTTATGGTGAGGAGTTGCTGGCCCCATGCCCAACCACCCCTTGTCTGCTGTCCACAATTGCTTATTCAATATATTCACAGCTACCCTTCATATGTGGAGGCTATCTTATCCATTCACAACCTGAGGACGTGTCATGCTGTGGTGACAAGGGATCTATTACACAAATACACTGATTTAAAGAAATACGTGAATTAATCATAATGAATACCTCACTTGAGCATTTGTATTTGCTATTATCCAAGGGATTAGAATTGTATGCTAGCATAGTGGTGATTGTAGTAAATGCTTTTCTTTTTAATGCATGTGCTATATTCACTCAAATATTCATTTCAACTGTTCAGTTTTTTGAACTCCATTTTTTAAAATTTCTGTGTGGAAATCATACCCAGAGCAATAGGAAATGAGTGAAAAATGTGTAGATTGTGATAATGCTAAAGAGAATATGTGATTATTACATACAAGCCAGTTAACATGATTTGTCAGCCCATAAGATAATGTTTGTTATGTTGTACTCTGTGTTTGTTCAGTGAAAGTAACGTGAATTGTAATATGGCTGAAAAACATGAAAAGTTATACTTACAGCAAAACAAAGCTAACATTAATTAGCCAGAGATGTAGGATATGCTTTAACAACAAAATATGATAATGGAATTTGTAAGATACAGGGGTGCTGGACCTTTCAACTGTAAAAGCATGAAAGAGTATCCACATGAAGTGATAGATGTTTCGCTTCCTCAGTAGTTTAACCAGAAGCAAGCAGAACATACATAAATCTCTGGTTCCATTTGTGCACAAAAAGCCAAGTTTATTCATGAAGCTTTGAGATTGGAATGTGAGTTCAGTGTCTTCATTGGATAACTGACCAGATTCAAGCAACAATGTTGCATTTATAGAATTGCTGTACAGGGAGAGAGACTTATTGCTGATGATAGTGCAGCTGACATGTTCCACATAGAATTTCAGAAATTTGTACAAAACTTGAAAGTGGATCAAATGTACAATGCTGATTAGTCTGGATTATGCTTGAAAGGCTTGCCAACAATAACCCTTCATTTTAAAAAGAGAATGTGCTCCCAGGCGTAAATTTGAAGACTGCTGTATGGTCATGTGTTCTGAAAATATATCTAGAAGTCATGAACTGAAACTTGTAGTGATTGGAGAAACTGAAATAACTACAATTGATAAAGGGTACTGAAGTAAATTGCATTTCTGTCCATTATTACAACCAGATAAGAGCATGGACAGGGAAATTTTTGGAAATTTGATCTGTAAGCATTTTGTTCTAGCACTTTTGGCTATCCTGAAAGAGAGAGGATAAAAACAGAAATCAGTGTCACTGTGTACCTTGTCATCAAACTTTGGACAATAGCTTAATCATAATGATTTTGCCCCCCAAAGTCACATCTGTTACACAGCCCATGGACCAAGGTGTGATTAGATCTATGAAATGACACTGTCAGGTTAATTTATTATGGAAAAGATTGAAGTGTTTGATGCTGTATACTGCATGCCACTGGCACAGTCTTCTGTGAGTTCAATAACATTGGTTAAGTTCTGGAAGAGATGTCATCTGGATCAAGATGTGATTTGCAAGGTGATGTGAATGATGAAATCAGGAAGTTCAAAGGCAGATTGTAAATAGGTCTGGCTTCATTCAGGCTGGAATAAGAGGAGGGTGGATTACAGGTAACATATTTGAAGATGAACTGCAAGCTTGGGCCAAATGTTCCTCAGGCCAAGTGAAATTCTAATCTTTTGGCATGTGCACACCTCTAAGGTAGCTGTGTAGCATGGGTGGAACACACATCATAATTTTGCTCATTCTTGTTTAAGTTGAACTTTGAAGTCTAGGAAAGTTCAGCACTGCACAATGCAGGTATCACTTGCATATTGCCATATTGTTTGAACAGACAGGGCACGAGGGACTTGTCTGTTCATGTGTTGAAATGAGATTTCACGTGATTTTATATATACACACTCACATATGAAGCTGTTATTAATACTTTGCTTCAATTTTGTTGTTTTATTTTGTCTTCATCTAATCTTTTTGCTCATGTTTTCTCCACCTCAAGCTGCACATTTTCCATTGGCTGTATTTTAAATATTTATCAAGCAAGAGTTTGATTACAAAGTTTATTTGAATATTATATAAGATTTTATTGTGTGCAGATTTGTTCTTAAAATGCGCTTATAGTTTGTCCTATAAGAATCTGGACTTAAGATTGGTATATATTTTTTTTCACAGATAATACACATTGCATCAGCAGTATGCCAGTTGCTCATAAAGAGTCAAACCTGCTGCTTGATGGTTCTGGAGATCACTCAGACATGGTTAAAGATGAGACATCATCTGAAACTGGAAGCTGTTCTTTGTCATCATCAAGTCAGACCTGTGATAATATTCTTAGTTTTAAATGTGCTTCTAGTGATGCTGCTGCAGTACGTGGAATTAATTCCAGATGTGCTTATACTGATGCTGTTCTTGCCTCTGTCACTTGTAATGAGTCTACAACTGACAGGCCAAGGTCAGAAAACATGAGTTGTGTAGAAGACTGTTCTCTTGAAGCACTTAATAAAGGAGACATTAGTCCTCTGGTAGATGCTTTGGGAACTTTAGATATTTGTGGCAGTAACAAAATTGAGGTTGAAAAACACACTTTAACTATTTCGGAAAAAGAGTGTGAACTACAAAAATCAGATTCTTCTGTGCACCATAATCAAGTTAGTAAAATTCCATGTAGCAGCAAGGATTTGCTATATGCCATTGATAAAGCAACAGAAGAAAATGTGGTTTGTAAAGAAATGAAGAGTGACAATGCATGTGGTTTACAACTCAGAAGCTGTAACTTTTCATATACTTCCATGACAGTAGGAAGCAATATGTGCAACCATGATTCACATATTTCAGAAAATAGTAATTTTCCAGTAAATGACTGTGTTAATACATCTCCTGATTCATGTACAATGAACATTTCTTTACCACCATTAGACATGCCATTTTCATTTAATTGCAGTGAGAATGCAGCAACACCAAGTGTCTTTGAGCACAAAAATAAAATTGAGACTGAGCATGTTTCATTATCATGTGGAATTGACACAAATCAGAGCAAAGTGAATTGTATGATGCTCCCTAGTGAAATACTCATGCCACCTGCCATCACAGAGTTTCCCTGTGGTAAGCTTGAAGTGATAAAAATGAATGTTGGTTCTGAAGGGAAAAAAACTGAATGTTGCCCTTCTGAGAGTGTAAATGTATCACAGACATATACAGATACCACAGGAATCACAGTTATATCTGTAAGCAAAGGAACTGCAATAAATACAACCTCTTCAATTGAAGCAACAGAGACATGTGCTATGTTATCAGGAACTGTGTCAAGAAAGTTAAGTGGCACTGATTCCATGAGTACATCTCAGCCAGACATACCTCAAACATCAGTTGGGATCAGTTCATTGGCATCACATCCATCGCCATCCCCACCAGCAGGAAGCTCTCATTGCATCACATTCATATCAAAAACAGATTCTATATCAGATTCATTTACCTCTTCGTTACAGCCACAGAGGGACTCTTTTGTCAAAACTCAGAATTTTGGCTCAATTCCCAGTTCTGTTACAAATTGTAATAAGCTTTTTGAAACTGTTGCTGACAAAACTGAAGGTAGTGTTACTTTCTCACCAAAGGGTGAACAAAATACAGCTCTTGGTGTGATTTCAAGCATGCCAGCCTCCAAAAATTCCTTTGCTGAAGACATACCTTTAAAATTGTCAGCTTCACCAGCACTTCATAATGTGTCTAGAGATTCATCAGTTTTCTCAGGTGTTCATTTTTGTACTCTGAGTTCACCAATCTCATCATCATCTGTTTCAAAACCTGGAGATACCAACTTCCATCTTGGTACTTCCTCATCTGATTTGGAATATTCACTTGGATTTGGGACATCCTTAAAATGTGGAGAACCTTGTACTGAAACATTTATGGATACTGTTGTGTCAAGAACAGGTACTTCTTTGAAACCAGATATTACGTGGTCAGGAGTGAATGTATATTCAAACACAATGAATACATCACAACAAAACAATAGACTGTCTAACACTAAAACAAAGTCATTGGACACAGCATTGATTAGTTGTGGAACACTGCGTTTTTCTCCTTTAACTGCACAGGCATCATCAAGCTTGCCTAATTCATCAGTTGTGAGCATAGATCAGTTAGGACAAGTGCCAAGAATTGAAAATACTGCACTTGCAATGTCCTTACCTAACATAACTGATGAAGATGATAATGATCCTTCTAGTTCCTGGTATACTATCCAGAAATCATCACTGAAGAACGTAGCTGAATATACAAGATATAGTCACTCCAGTTCAAAACCGATATTTGGATCTGATTTTAATTTTCTAAAATATGAGTCTGTGAAAGATACATCAGTTAGAAACAATATATTTGGAAATATATTCCAAGTGAACAGCCCTGGTAACCAGAGCTCAACAGCAAATGCTAGTAACATGACAGCATTTAGCAATGGTAGCAGCACACTATTTAGATTTGGATCTGTCAAAATGAAACGTGATAAAGATTTTGTGTGGGAACCAGTTACAACTGTAGCATCAAATAATTTTAATACAGATATAATTAATAAGACATTCACTTTTGGAATTCCATCACCAGCAACTTCAAGCAGTGTACTCTTCAACTCCAGTGGTTCAAAGAAAACGTCAGAACACAAAACAGAGTTGTGTGTTCAGGGAAGATCAGAATTTCATCTACAAAGAAGATCAAGCAATTTTGCACAAACTGGTTCATGTAAGTTAATACTCATTGGTTTTGTATAGTTTAACAAAACTGTTACATTAACCAAGTACCATTTGCACTAATATAAGCGTTTGTACATTTGTGATGGACAAACATGTTTTGGTCATTCGACAGTTGTCAGTGTCTACATGTGTTCTATAACATGTAACATCAGCAATCCCCTACATGTTTATGAACATCGTTCTTTTGGTAAAACATGGTTTATTGAATCATAAATTCAGTAATAAAATAGTAATGTAATGGTTTATTTATTGTTATTCTTGAAAAACATTACGGTGGGTCCTACTTGTGTTGGTAGCGCAGCTTAGAATGGAGAAGGCAAGTTAACATTATAATAGGATGCAGTTGTCAGCTTAAACATATGTGACAGCTGTTAGGGAATTCCTTCCAGGACACTAAACATTGTTTCCTAAAGCTACATCATTTATTTTGTACGATTAGGTACTACACTTATCATTTACATTATTATTGATTCCTAAGAGGCTAGTTCACTTTCTACTAGTCAGTAAATGGGTGAGCTGGCCTTTGTGTATTCCTCAATTCCAGGAAATTACATTTGCACATTCTTAAAATTGCTTAATTCTATACAACTTCAAAGCTTTAAAAAATTTCACATTCTTAGTTGAA